ATATTTTAAGTTATTTAAATATAATATTGATGGCTAGAAGGTCTTCAAGGACCTTACAAAAATGCCTGGGGTTGAAAAAAGAGTTGCTGTGTAACAAAGAAAGGTAAATTCTAGATTAATAGCTTGCATCATGCCGAATACAACTGACAGTTAAAACTTAGGAGGCAGATATTAGCATTATAGTCTCAGAACTGCACAGCAAAAGGATGAAAGTCAGTGGTCAGAAGCAAGAATTTCATGTAATAAAATGTATGAAATTGCCAATAAATGTTATAGGAAAACAAATTAGTCAAAGGATATTAAGAGGTTGTGGAATCTTCATTTTGGAAACAATCAAAACTTGACCAGACTCAGGTGTGAGCAACTTGATCTGAATAGGTCTGTTTTTCAGAAATGGAGGAGATAGTGAAAGATGACTCCTAGAGATATTTTACAGCCTGAATTACTCTTTAAGTTGGTTGTCTGAAGGACAAAGCCAAGAGTTATGAAATCATTAAAGTCGTGACATTAGGAACATGGTTCAGTGATATACTTGGCAGAGTTAGGCTTATATTTGGAATTGATTATCTTAACAGTCTTTTCAAAACTAAATTATTGTATAATTACATTATACTATGATCAGAAAAAAATAAGGATTGGTCCAGAGACAGTGATGTTCCACAAGCAAGTAAACTTGTGGCAGAAAATATAGAAAAAGTCAAGGTACTCAATGTCTCTTTTACCTTGGTCTTCATAGAATCATACAATCCATTCTTGAAAACTGAAACTATATTTGGCAGCTGCCATATGGCTGGGACTTCTCCAGACTCCCAAAAACCATTGCAAAATAGCAGAGAGAGGTCCTGCAATAACACCAGGAAGCTCTTTTAGTACCCTGAAATGAATCCTATCAGGCCCCATAGACATATATGTATCATAATACATCTGGAGAAGCAAGTATTGAAAAAATTCTGGGGCAGCTGGGAGTTTATCACCCCCCAGGAATGGTATTCCAGTACAGGATGTAGAAGACACCTGATTACCTTTGAAAAGTCGTGCTGACTAGAAGAGGTTCCTGAAGACTGAAAGAGACAAATATTATTATCTCCAAGATGAGAAAGAATGAAGAACTAAAGAACTTCACCTGTGGACTTTCACCTTGATTCCAAGGATATGAAGGACAAGAAGAGAATGGGAGTTAACAGCAAGAATTTATGGGTTAGAAATCATGCTTAGCCTATGACATAGCCTTCTATGATTGTTCTCAGATTGGTTCTCTGTGTGATGGGAGAGAACAGAATGTTATTGTTATTTTATTAAGGCTTGTCGTCACGTAATACTAAAATTATCTGATGAAGTACAGATCTGACAAGTAAACAGTGAGGGGGATTGAAAACGTAACTGATGCATCTTGGGTTGGGTGGGTTGTACTATATAGTCTCCAGAGGACTCCTGACTTCAACAATTCTGTTGAATAATGACTAAGATTCTGTCAACATAATGTCAATTCTGTTGACATGATGACTAAGATTATGAAGATATATTATGGTGTTTTCTGTTGATACAAGGCAATATAGAGTGAGGTAACCTCAAGAAGAGATCTAGGCTATTCTGTGACATAAAAACTGAGGTGTGAGTGAGATGGGAATAACAGGTTGTTAATGATTTCTCTATCTCACCCGTATACACATGGTCTGTAAATAACATATGCATGACAGTACAATTGTCAGCACCAAGGTCTTCGAAAACCAGATGATTCACTCCAGCTTGTTGATTTCTCCAAATACTGAGAGTTGTACAACAGTTTCAATGTCATCTTGACCCTTTGGCATGACGGCAGTTGTTCATGGATGTGTGTGGGTTGTGTGAATGGATGGAGACTTATTTTAATTATTCATTGCTTCTCAAGTTTAATAGCTGGTATGAGTTGCCAATGATAACTTAAAAAAAGTCAGATTTTGCTTAGAATTTCTATTTTTTTACTAGTTTATACTCAGGTGAGGCCTAAATATGATCAAAGACTGGGACAAGGTTCAGATGAGCTGCTGCCTTCCTTCATTTCATTGCCAATGAGCTTGACAGGCACTTGTCTAAAGGTTGTGTCCTCATGGGTAATTCACGCATATTGCAAAAACACTTCTGAGACAGTTACTTCAAGATAATTGCTTTGAATATGTTTGAAGTTCAGTATTATTAGGTTGGAAAATTACAGCATCATCAGTCTTGGGACTGCAGAATTACTGCTGTCAATATACTAATTCAAACTGGAAAAGGTAATTTCAGACTTTGTGGAGCAGCAGCTACAGAACTAATGCATTAGCAGAAATTGGGAAAGAATAAACCAAAACAAACAAAACCCTTCAGTCAAATGATTATTTATTTATTTGTTGTTTATTTATTTATTTCTATTTCTTTGATTCATCTAGGAATCTGGAGATGGATTACAGCTCTCTATTGTGGTACAATTAGGCACATATTGTACAGGACTTTCAGTTATTTGTGTTGATTGTTGTTTGTTATCTGATGGCAGAAATAGTACAATATTTTCAACAATAATTTTTCTCCCCAAACAACCAAAACACTGTCTTCAACTATTTATGCTGAGCTTTCGCAACAGATGCATATCCAGAGGGACAACCTGTCACTTCTAAAACTTCTAGAAAAAATAAAGAACAAAGCAAAGTGTCCCTGTCTTAGTGCCACTGTCTCCAACATGAAAACTAATATTCAGGTAATGATTGTAAGCTTATGATCATGTCAAAGGAAAAAGAAAATATTAACTATAATAAATCACAGACAGTATTACTTGGTAATAAAAATAAACACTTTTGGCTTAAAAATCAGTTCTGGATTTCTTACATATATTTCTTTTGTTTTACATGAGAGATTTCCAAAATGTATGTTGAATACAGAGAAGACATACAGCAACATATTACTTCATTACAAAAATTTATTTTTCTTAAAATTAAATATTTACTTGGTTATCCTATAGATATCCTTAGTTATCCCATATAGATATCCCATAGATATCCTATGTGCTTTTCTCTCATTTTAAGACTGTATGATGAGAATTAACTAAGCAAAGCATCTCAAATTGACCTGTGAAACTTGTACATTTGGAAGTGTGACTGCCAGAGCCTTGGGAATGGTCAGACTGGGAAGTTTCCTTAACATTTGACAAAACTTAGGGTTTCTCTACCTTTCTAAGATCAGGGTGGATTTTTTTTTTCTTTTTGCAGCTACCTACCTAATGGAGCATCATAGTGATGACAGGCAGACTTTTCTCCAAGGTGGACAGCAGAGTGATGAGAGGCAATGAACACAAATCTAAAAATACGGGGAAATTCAGACTGTATAGAAAATCTGTCTCACCATGGCAGTGATCAAGTGTAAGAGCAAGTTTTTAGAGAAAGTGTGGAATTTGTGTCATTGGAGATTGTTAAAAGTCAACTAGAGGGCCTCAATGCTTTAGAGAATATTAAGGAACGCCTTGGTGCTATTACAGGAAGAAAGTGATATTTAATGACTATTGCATCAGCATGAAAGCAATCCATGAATAAACACATGGATAAAACTATCAAAATGTAATTTATTCTTATTTTCCTCTTGGTTGGTTTTACCTTTTCTTTTTTTCCCCACTCAGTTAATTACCTGGGAGTTATTGGTTTTACATATTACAAAAAAAAATCCAGGCTGTTTCTTTAAAACAAAATCTTGTTTTAGTACTTCATTATACAACACAACTCACACTTTGCTTTTTCATAAAAGATTTCAGAAAGAGAAAGGAGGTTTTATAGCTAAAGTTAAGGTTTAACTATGCTTACTTGGCAGATAAATTACTTTAAAAAATAAATTACTTCGAAGTTATACTTAAAATACCAGAGAACAAAAAAACCAAACCAAACAAAACAAAACAAAACAAAACCAAAACATGGGGTAAAAACATGTTTAATGGTATGTAAGATGATGGAAAATATAGGAAAGAAAAGCTGTTTTTTTACCACATGAAAGTTTCAGGCGGTCATGGCAACAAGAATATAAAACAAAAAACAAACAGAAGAATAAAAGCTCTGTGTAGCTAGTGAAGCTGAAATACATTCAGGATTTAATATCAAGAGAGTATGTAAAAATTATTCCACACTTACTGGAAAATCTGGAAGAGTATCCTAGAACACCTAATTTCCTGTAATAAGAGTCCTTACAGCTCACTCATGAGTAAACAAATTGCATCAGCATTTCTAGTATGGGAATGATTGTGAATATTTAAACTCAATAGCAATTGAACCTGATTTTAGTTTGGTCAATTAATGATAGTGATAGGACATAACTTTTATGGGGACAGTTACCTGCTACAGCAACAGTAGAGCTTAATATAATACTAGACTAAGTATGTTACCCCATTAACTCTCTTTTTATACTCTGATTTGAAATATGAGGTGCAATATATCTTTGAGAATATGGAAGGAAATAAATCTTCGCTATTTCTACCATGAATGAGAAGTCTTCCTAAGTTTCATCAACTCTATCAGTTGAATACTAATAACTGATAAGGATCAGACTATATTTTCATATCTTGATGCTTAAACTTCTCCTGTGCAGCTCACAATGAGAATTTGAAAAAACAAAACTGTTTTTGGTTGCACATTTGATTGCATCTGTTGGGCTCACTGTCTGACTATATGCAAAAAATATGAAAAGGTTGCTCACATTTTGACCTATTTTATCAAGGAATTGAAGATTGTATGAATCCACAGTAGAAAATGTGTTATTAAAAGCGAAAATATTTAGAAACTGAATTTAATCATGTGTGGAAATAAAAATGAACACTGTGTGGATCACTGACCCTGATGACAGTCAGTCTGTATTAACCATCTCCTGGTTCAAAAATGTGTTTACAACCTCTAAGTAAATGTTAATTATTTCAATAACATGGCACATGGCACTCGCAGTCTCTAGCTATAAGAAATATGTTAAGTGGAGATATGAAGGCACAAAGAGAGTTTACATTTGAGAAACTGTACCTGTCTTATGTAAAACACGTTATCTGTAATACTCCAGGATGTGTCCTCTTTTCTGTCCAGCTTGTGTAGCATGCTGAAACACACGTGAATGAATAAACACACAGACACATACACAGAGAAAGATGTTTCAGGAAAAATCTAGAAATGTTTTTAAAACCCATTCCCTGCCATTATGTGGTTACTCAGGTTAATATAACCTGTCAGAAAGAAGAGTTGTTACCATTAGGCTGTCATAGCAATGGAATTGTCAAACTAGTATGTGGCTGGTGCTCTGCTGCGTGGTATTTTAGTCTATGTGCCTGACGTTTCTCAAAAAGCATTCTTACTGAGAACTTTAATTGCTCTGTAGGTGTTTATCTAAAGCAAAGAACCCATCTGTTACAAGACTTTACAAGTTTTGTTCTTAATATTAATAAGTACACGTTAATTTATTAATGTGTACTTAATATTAATCTACCAATATTTATTTATCTTTCAAATAGGTTTTATTCTACACAACTTGCAGGAAGGTAATTCCCACTTAAATTATCAGTTAGGAAGTAGCTATAGGTAGACTTAGGAAGTTTGCTAGGCGGTTTCCTGTTTGGTAAAATTTAGGTTGGGGTTTTTTTGTGTGTTTGTATGTGATTTTTGGTGTTTATGCTTTTGTTTGTTTTTATTTTTCTTTTCTGAATCTCTCAATGTAACTTACGTCTATTTTAAAAGTTATTTACAGGAGATTTGGAAAACAATCTATTCCCTTCACATTCACAGCAGCTTTCATCTACTTGAATACTATTATTACGACTACTTCTCTGTTATAGAATAAGCAGATAGAATGCTCAAATATTACTTTGTATTGTTTTAGTATGCTATTATGTTATTTTAGTATGCTATTATCTTACAGTCTCTGAAAAAAGATAATATTCCCATCCAGTAATTCAATATACCAGGTCCTGGAAATTTCAGGAAATTCTGTGACCTCCTTTTATTCCCATAATTACTTGTTTCCATCTTCTATACATGCCACTTTAATTTCAGTTCTTCCTATTGTTGCCAATCTTTATAGCCAAAATTAGTAAAACAGAAATTAAGTGAATAAATAAAGAGGAGGGAAGACTGGTACTTGGCAGTTCAGTACTCAGTCTGGCAGAGTTATTCATTGCTTCTTTTCTGTTTATTTTGGCTTATAAATTCTACACTTCAAACGAAATCTACACATTACTTGACAGGGTGCAGTAGCCCAGCAGTCATGGAGCTGTCTCAAATTTGTGTGACAGAAACAGTGTAAAGTTACTCATAGATTAGTAGACCTTGATTATTGTGGCATAACATAGGCTGTACTTAGCTGAAAACAGTTGCATCAGTTCCTGTGAGACCCTTCTATGTGTAGGGAAATACTCAGCAGTAGGAAAGGTGACAAAGATCAATGCATTACATTTGAAGCTTCAAGAGGAGCAGTATTCTTATTCCTCCAATTTGTGCCGAGCACTGAAAAAAAAAAATCCTAAAAAAAAAGTTTGTGAAGTTAAAATGTTTTTCAAATGTATTTTTAAGACAGTTGTGCCAAATTCAATTACTTTACTGGTATTTATATATATTTCATAGAAAATATGAAGATGTAGAAGTTATTCTGCAGTTGTATTTCAGCATATGTAATTATGTATGTCCTAAAAACACCATGAAAAGTGTCTATAGGTAAAAACATGTATAAGATAAAACAGTAAATGGATATGAGAGCTTGTGTTTTTAGTGTATGCTGAAAGATATGTAAATGACCCGATATGTTCCGTCTGTGTTTTTCTGTGGATCTTAAAGACCATCCTATCTCCAAGCAAAGGAGACACCATGAGTGATGAAAATGGAGCACTGAGAGGAAATTAATACCCTTTACTTCCTTTTCTATCAAATCATTATTTCAACCTGCCAACTTCTGTTTTCTTTTAACTCAGGATATATGCAATACATATAATTCAATTGCAATAGTAATGCAATTGTAATTGCAAGTCAAGAGTAGCAGTAAATTTCTTTGCTCACAGGAAACTGTGGTCAATTCATGCTACACTCATCATACATATGTCCAAGCTGGCAACTTTGTAGCCAGATATGAATTTATTTAGTGGTTAAAAAATAAGAATTTTTTAAATACATGCTTAATTTACAATAGACCCACTAATCCTGTGTCCAGGTTGCAGACAGCAACTTAGAGGCTGCCCCCTTCTTTTTCACAACCATTCATTCATTTATTCATGTTATGACACTGCCATCTTTGGTGATATATTGGGTTCATGTGCCAAGGCCTGTGTGTTGGGGGTTGCAGGGATAACCTGTGGGAGAAGGAGCCAGGGACTGGTGCCAACTCGCTTTGCAAAGGAGCCACAAGTGTGAGAAGAAAGGAGATGCAGACAAGGTCCTAGTATGGACTGACCACAGCCACCCATTCTCTGCTGGTTGGGGAGATGGAAGAGTCAGGAAGCAAGGAATGAAGAAAGGAGAGTGTTTTTATTTTTACTTTAGTTATCACTATCCAACTCTACTTTTAACTGGCAATAAATTAAGCTAATTTTCCCCAAGCTTTATCTGTTTTGCCAGTGATGGTAAGTTTGAACTATGAATTATTGTGTCCCAAAAGCTTTTGCACCTTATTCCCCACCACCAGCCCCCTTGAAGAAGGGAACTGGAAAAGCAGCTGGGCTGGGGTCTGTCAGCCAGTCAAGTTCAACTCACCACACTACACTAGTTAATAATTTTTAAAAAAATAAATCATTAAAATAAATTTAATATTTATGTTTTTATAAATAGCATTATTATTTTCAATTTTTTAGTATGCAGTTGTGGACTTATAATTATGTTAAATTAAATATTGCAGCATTGTTCTGGGAAAATCCTACTGCATTTTCTTATCCCTTTCCATATTTACACTCTCCTCTAGCTTCTGGTTATTATTTATTTATAAAACCTTCATGATTTTCTGTCTGTATATGCTGAAGGCCTTTATGCTGGGGGAAAGAGGTGTCATTTATATTTTACAGCCTTCTTCCATTTGCTTCCCAGGAAGTATAGATTTTTTGCTTGTATGTTTTCACTATTTATTTTTACATTAAAGTTAGCAATTCCAGATATTGATTACCTTGGAAATGTCTTAAATATTTACCAATTGTTGTGGTACATTTCTGCTCATATCTTTTTTGTCTAAACTATCATAGTTTTCAAATTCACAAGGTTCACTTTTGTATAGCTGGCCTTTCCCTTTCACCAGAATGCTGAGATCTACCAGGGTGCTCTCCCATATTGGATAAAGGTCTTTCGGAGGAAAATAATTTTTTCTCTGCAACTTCTAAATTCTGTAGGTATTTTATATTTGAAGTTGGAGCATCATAGTACATCACAGATTTGAACACTGCAGGTTTTATTTTTCAGATGCAAATTAGTAAGTTACTGCTTCATGTAGCTGGTTAACCTCCTCCTAACGTGTTTTGGGGACTTACTGTGATACATCCTGGTAATGAAGTCCAAACAATAAAACCTTCCTTGACAGAAGGCATTCTCTCTCCCCTTGTCCCAATTCAGTTTTAATTGCAAATGCTATGAATAACATTCCTGATTTTAAAATTTGAGTCATGAGATTGTTCCTAACACGGAGATGTATTTAGACACTAAAATGGTATTTCCATTTATTTTTGTTTAATCCTTGATTTTGTACAGGCACTCAAATAATTGTTGAAACACAAGTTCAAGATCATAAAAGTGTCTCTCTTGTTATTAATTAGAAAAAAATTATTTTAAATCAAAATAATTTTTATAATACTGTCCATAATAAAATTAAAAACTGAATTAGAGAATGGAAGGATTTTTTTATTTGCTCAATCTAAAGCTTTCCTTTTAGCCATTCTTTTCACAGTTCTAGGGATTGCTTGACAGCTGACCTCAAGACTCAGCTGCATCTTTCCTCAGTGATCAAAGAGGTGATGGGCATTTCCATGATTGTAACATTTTATTGAGGGCAAACTGAGATGTTCTTCACCTTTATGATATTCCACAACCATAACCAAGAACAGTAACAGAACCCTTCACACCAACTCTGATCACAGGGTTCGACCTCTGCAATCTATATCTTTGTCTTCTGAATTCCCTGATGCAACTCTTTTGTATGCTTCTGACTGAGATTATATTAACGTGCTAGTTGAATATATGTGAACAACCATTTCAAGATAATCCAGAAAGGCTATCAAAACTATACAATATCAGATTTTAAAGATTGATTTTGATATGTGAGACATTAATGTTTTACTAGCAGATATTAGTTAAGTCTGATTAAATGGCAAAATTCAGGGAAATACCAGGCAAATCGTCCAAAGATTATTGCAATATATATTTTTCATGGTTTTTGGCATCTTTGACAAGAATTATTTAATGAAAATTAGATTTCTTAGTTTAAAGCGAGCTTTCATGGTAGAGTGAAAAGTGGTGGTATATGTTTTAGAGGAAGGTGAGCCAGGTTTCCTTAGATAGCCATTGCACATATTTACATATGGTCAGACGAATCCCATACTGCATAACTAAACAGAGTTCAGTCAAGTTGACCAGAGAATTCAAGCTATACAGACTGAATGCATATTTTCTTTAACAGCTCTTATTTCAAATTGTATTGCATCAATATTTATGTATCCTAAGAGAATAGGGACAGAATTAATTTCATTTAACTTTGTGGAGGAAATTCCAACACAAGATATATATGTAGCATTTAGAATTATTAAACATCTAAAATTTATGTAGTGGTCACAGACTCTATAGGCACCTACCTTAGATTAGGTGTCTAACTCTTAGTGGGCAAAATTTAGGAAGAGATTTCCCATGGTTATTAATCACTATCCATCTTTAAAAAAGAACATTATTAAAATACTCTCATCTTCCTTGCAACTGCTGTTAATTTGGGGAACCAAAAAATAAAATTTCAATTCATATTTATGAAATATTTGTCTAATAAAAAAATTATAAATCTGAAAATTCTGGAAAATGAAGAAAATTATGACATACTCTTTCATTTTCTTCCATATTAGCCATTCCTCAATGACTTCTCTCAAAGTCTGTTTG